TAATAGCAACACATGCTATACTAAATATGTTACATTCCATTTCAATGTTTCCGATTGCATTGCTAAATAGAATTTTCATAGATTTCGATTTATTTTCATTTTGATTTCATTATTTTGTGTGACATTGCATTGGAATTGAGCTGTGTTGTTTACCATGCCATTCATTTCATCCGTATAGTTTATTTTTTCATTTTTGTTTTGATTTCGGCTTTTAACTGTTTTTCATATATTTCAGTGATGGGAACATCAGATAATTTGATGTTCCCAATTTTCTGAGGGGAACATTAGATCATTTAGGAATGCATCGGACGAGAGAGTGAGAAATGGTTGGGAGGACGACGAAACAGGGGCGTTGGGAATGGTTGGGAGGACTAGGGAACGGGGGAGGGTTGGAATGGGGGGGAGGGCTGGGTGAGAGGGGAAGGTTGCTGTGAGCCACAGCAACGCGTGGCTGGGTACAGCTAGTATAAAATATTGACATGTGTTTCATCATAAATATATGTAAATTAATAGTAACTGCATTTGTAAATCATTCATCACTGATACTATGAGAACATGTGACTCTGTGTCCCGAGAGAAAACATGCAGTGTTGAATTGTAATGTATAGTTCAACTAGCTGGAGATAGCTAGTTGTTCAACACAAATTTTGTCTGTGGAAAAAAAAAATATTATTACAGAAGGCACGATAAGTCTTAGTTAGACTTGTTTAGCTATTATTCTCATCACCGGGAATAAGTTCCCCTTTCCATCTCCGTCGGTCTGTAGCACAACAGACAGATAAATATGTGGACTTGTATCCTTAATTCTTTCAAAGAGGCACTCCAAGAATGGCTAAGTTTACCCTATGCTCTGGAACTCCGTGCATAAAAAACGCAAAATGCTTCCTGAATTTACATACATGTATATGCTAAACAAACATCGTATCCATGATTCGGTATGCTGATTGGCAGATCATAAATACTCGCTTTACACTCTTGTACCAAGATTGTAAATAACTGTCTTAAATTCCCCCTGTAAACTTTTACAATCAATAAATCTCGCCTCCAAATGAGTCATGATGCTAAATTACTCTCGCTCTTGTCAGCGGTGACTCAAGTATTATATTTCTTGACGCTGGTGAGACACAGAAGAGGGTCACCTCCTACAAGTCGTCTTATGCAGGCCGTGTCTTGTAGGGCGCCTTCTCCAGGTCGTCTGTACCAGGGCGCCTTGTACAGGTCTTCGTCACTGTATGAGGCCAGCACCAACAACCTCCAGCATCAATATGCGAGGCCAACCACAACAACTTCCTCTACCAGTGGAACAAGCGGTGTGGTGGGAGGTCCAGCCTCCTCCCTCACACACTAGCACGCTTTTTGCTACTTTTTTTATTGTTGTCATTTTGTACTACACAATAATCATAAGGTGGCGGTGTTGTGGTCGGCGTAAGATAACAGGGCGGTGGCGGCACAGCGGCAGTGTTCTTGCTGCAAGATAACCGTGCCGGTGGGGGCACTGGCAGTGATCTTGGAGACGATAACAGGCACTGAGGAACCGCGGTGTAGCGGTGACAGCGTGTGTGGGGTCCACCTTCAAGGATAAGGAGACGGTTGTGGAAGACACCGGCTGTCATTTCAGGCAGGTTTTGCTCGACACGACCTCATCGTCTTCTTTGGGGCGTCTGCCACGGTGTCTAGTCTTGAAGAATGGTGAAAGATGGGGGGGGGGAGGGGAGGGGGGGACGGGAAACAGGCACCATTTAACCTTAATTACTGACATCGAGAGCGTAATAGAGTTTAAACCTCTCTTCTTTGTTATATGTAAACTCTATTTTTGTGCTACGACGGCCTGCTCTACGTGGTAATGTTTAATGTCTCGTTAGTCCTCCTTAATGTATTGTGATCAGCAGTTTGTGAATGAAATTGTTTTGTGTGTGTACTCACCTAGTTGTGCTTGCGGGGGTTGAGCTTTGTCTCTTTGGTCCCGCCTCTCAACTGTCAATCAATTGGTGTACAGATTCCTGAGCCTATTGGGCTCTATCATATCTACATTTGGAGCTGTGTATGGAGTCAGCCTCCACCACATCACTGCCTAATGCATTCCATTTGTCTACTACTCTGACACTGAAAAAAAAATTCTAACATCTCCATGTCTCATGTAGGCACTCAATTTCCACCTGTGTCACCTTGTGCGTGTGCCCCTTGTGTTAAATAGTCTGTCTTTATGTGGTGATCATGTCCCCTCTAACCCTTCTGTCTCCCAGTGACATGAGGTTCAATTCCCGTAGTCTCTCCTCGTAGCTCATACCTCTCAGCCCGGGTACTAGTCTGGTGTCAAACTTTTGAACCTTTTCCAGTTTAGTCTTATGGTTAATTAGATACGGATTCCATGCTGGAGCCGCATACTCCAGGATTGGTCTGACATATGTGCTATACAAAGTTCTGAAAGATTCATTACACAAGTTTCTAAAGGCCGTTCTTATGTTAGCCAGCCTGGCATATGCCGCTGATGTTATCCTCTTGATATCAGCTTCAGGGGACAGGTCTGGCGTGATATCAATCCCTAGGTCTCTCTCTCTCTCTGACTCTTGAAGAATTTCCTAGGACAAATATATAAATTGTGACACTAGCTCTCCACATATGTCAGTTGCTTAATTTAGAACCTGTACTTGAGGTCGATCTCGAACCCATTGTTGATGTGACGACTTATATTGAATTTTGTAACTAGCTCATCAAGATTGTAACTTGCTTAGCTAAATGAATTGTGGGGTTCAGTCCCTGAGCCCATTATGTGCCTCTTTAACCCTTTCCACTACCACCCACAAGATGGGTATGGGGTAAATAATAAATGAACTAAACTAACCAAATGATACCTTGTATCTGCTCTCCTGCTCCCTACACCTATCTTCATTATATTACACTTGCTTGGGTTAAACTCTAACAACCATTCGTTCGACCATTCCTGCAGCCTGTCCAGGTCTTCTTGAAGCCTCAAGCTGTTCTCCTCTGTCTTAATCCTTCTCATAATTTTGGCGCCGTCAGCAAACATTGAGAGGAATGAGTCTATACCCTCAGGATAGGTCCGAGTACAGAGCCCTGTGGTACTCCACTGGTGACTTCACGCCAATCTGACGTCTCACCCCCTCACTGTAACTCTCTGCTTCCTATTGCTTAGGTACTCCCTTATCCACTGGAGACCTTACCAGTCACTCCTGCCAGTTTCTCCAGCTTATGCATCAGCCTTTTATGGGATACTGTGTCTAAGGCTTTCCGACAGTCCAAGAAAATGCAGTCCCCCCCATCCTACTCTTTCTTGCTTAATCTTCGTCACCTGATCGTAGAATTTTATTAAGCCTGTGAGGCAAGATTTACCCTCCCTGAACCCATGTTGATTGGTTGTCACGAAGTCTCTTCTCTCCAGATGTGTTACTAGGTGACCTACTATACACTATGGGGAGTGGTAAGCAAAGTGCTTCTGCACACTCTTTCAATATCCATGGTGAGATTCTGTCCAGGCCAACAACCTTTCTCACATCCAGATCCAACAGATGCCTCTTGACCACATCTCTTGTAATTTCGAACCCTTCCAAGGCCGCCTGGTTTATTGCCACCTCTCCTAGCGCAGTGACTTCACCTTGTTCTATTGTGAAGACCTCCTGGAACCTCTTATTGAGTTCTTCACACACCTCTTTATCATTCTCTTTGTACCTGTTCTCCTGTTCTAAGTTTCATCACCTGTTCCTTCACTGTTGTTCTCCTCCTGATGTGACTGTAGAGTAGCTTTGGTTCGGTCTTGGCTTTATTAACTATATCGTTTTCATACTTTTTCTCAGCTGCTCTTCTCACACTAACATACTCGTTCCTGGTTCTCTGGTATCTCTCTCTGCTGTCTGGTGTTCTGTTATTTCGGAAGTTCCTCCACGCCCTTTTGTTCAGCTGGATGGGAACTGTTGTATGTGGTGCCCCCTCACCACATTGGCGTCATGCTGTACTCACCTAGTTGTATTCACCTAGTTGTGTTTGCGGGGGTTGACAGATGTTAGTCTTCTAGTTTGAGGAGCTTGAGACACTTGAGACAGTTAGGCAAGTCCCAGCTGTGTCTGGATACAAGTGACAGGATGAACAACCCAGCGGGTTTTCTTCCTATTGGCGAGTGTTGTACATGCTGCTATGGAGGTGTGTCCACTCACAGGATGAGTGGCGCTGCCCAATACTGTCACTATGGCGGTGTGTTCACTCACAGGATGAGTGACGCTGCCCAATACTGTCACTATGGCGGTGTGTCCACTCACAGGATGAGTGGCGCTGCCCAATACTGTCACTATGGCGGTATGTTCACTCACAGGATGAGTGGCGCTGCCCAATACTGTCACTATGGCGGTGTGTCCACTCACAGGATGAGTGGCGCTGCCCAATACTGTCACTATGGCGGTATGTTCACTCACAGGATGAGTGGCGCTGCCCAATACTGTCACTATGGCGGTATGTTCACTCACAGGATGAGTGGCGCTGCCCAATACTGTCACTATGGCGGTATGTTCACTCACAGGATGAGTGGCGCTGCCCAATACTGTCACTATGGCGGTATGTCCACTCACAGGATGAGTGACGCTGCCCAATACTGTCACTATGGCGGTGTGTCCACTCACAGGATGAGTGACGCTGCACAATAAACTCGCCCCTCGGGGCGAAAATTTTACAAATTTAACCGCTGCTAAATGAGACGACTATTTCATTTTTCCCCCATTTCTTTTACCTGAGTATACCTGAGGGTCACCATCTTTAGCTGCCTGCACGGGAACAGGAAGCCGGCGGCTTGCCAAAGGTCCCCATCCCCTTCTCATTCCATACCTATTGATTGTTTTACACCATTCCTATCTGTGTGTCTTACGCCCTATACCCCAAGGCTTCAAGAACGGTCACAACCTATAACGTCTCACACCGAGGCTACAGGCTGAGCTATACAAGCCACACCAAGGGGCTGCAAGAGAGGGCTTGGCCTATGGTCTTTTATCTAGTACAAACGTGAGGCCATTAGAGGGGAGATAAGCGCAGATGAAGGGCGGATCTTTGATCACAAGGACTCCTTGGTAATACACCTCCTTCATGTTGACACGGTGGTCACTGGGAGAGGGCGAAGGTGGGGTGTTCCACACCCTGGGAGCTGGTGAAGATGGTGTGTGTGTTCCACACCCTGGGAGCTGGTGAAGATGGTGTGTGTTCCACACCCTGGGAGCTGGTGAAGATGGTGTGTGTTCCACACCCTGGGAGCTGGGGAAGATGGTGTGTGTGTTCCACACCCTGGGAGCTGGGGAAGATGGTGCAGTGTTTCGGGCCTCTCAAAAGTTAAGAAGTATGAGAGCAGCTGCAACAGTTAAGAAGTATTAGAGCAGCTGCAACAGTTAAGAAGTATGAGAGCAGCTGCAACAGTTAAGAAGTATGAGAGCAGCTGCAACAGTTAGGGGGGGGGGCTGTGATGAAGATGAGGATTGATACTGCAATTGATACTCACTGATGCATCACGTTATTGTCATTACTCTCTGTGTAGTTACGGGCTATTGTTGAGTGCAGCTGCAGCAGCAGCGGCAGTTAGGGAGCTGTTTGAAAGTAGCTTCGACAGTTTGGGTAAGATTGAGAGCAGTTGCAACAGCTTCAACAGTTACTTGGTACTGTGAGTGCGACTACAATAGCCGAGGCTTCCAAAACAGCCACTACAACAACGACTACAATAGCCGAGGCTTCCAAAACAGCCACTACAACAACGACTACAATAGCCGAGGCTTCCAAAACAGCCACTACAGCAACGGCTACAATAGCCGAGGCTTCCAAAACAGCAACTACAACAGCGACTACAATAGCCAAGGCTTCCAAAACAGCCACTACAACAACAGCTACAATAGCCGAGGCTTCCAAAACAGCAACTACAACAACGACTACAATAGCCGAAGCTTCCTAAACAGCAACTACAACAACGACTACAATAGCCGAGGCTTCCAAAACAGCAACTACAACAACGACTACAATAGCCGAGGCTTCCAAAACAGCAACTACAACAACGACTACAATAGCCGAGGCTTCCAAAACAGCAACTACAACAACGACTACAATAGCCGAGGCTTCCAAAACAGCAACTACAACAACGACTACAATAGCCGAGGCTTCCAAAACAGCAACTACAGCAACGACTACAATAGCCGAGGCTTCCAAAACAGCAACTACAACAACGACTACAATAGCCGAGGCTTCCAAAACAGCCACTACAACAACGACTACAATAGCCGAGGCTTCCAAAACAGCAACTACAGCAACGACTACAATAGCCGAGGCTTCCAAAACAGCCACTACAACAACGACTACAATAGCCGAGGCTTCCAAAACAGCAACTACAACAACGACTACAATAGCCGAGGCTTCCTAAACAGCAACTACAGCAACGACTACAATAGCCGAGGCTTCCAAAACAGCAACTACAACAACGACTACAATAGCCGAGGCTTCCAAAACAGCAACTACAACAACGACTACAATAGCCGAGGCTTCCAAAACAGCAACTACAACAACGACTACAATAGCCGAGGCTTCCAAAACAGCAACTACAACAACGACTACAATAGCCGAGGCTTCCAAAACAGCAACTACAACAACGACTACAATAGCCGAGGCTTCCAAAACAGCAACTACAGCAACGACTACAATAGCCGAGGCTTCCAAAACAGCCACTACAACAACGACTACAATAGCCGAGGCTTCCAAAACAGCAACTACAACAACGACTACAATAGCCGAGGCTTCCTAAACAGCAACTACAACAACGACTACAATAGCCGAGGCTTCCAAAACAGCAACTACAACAACGGCTACAATAGCCGAGGCTTCCAAAACAGCAACTACAACAACAGCTACAATAGCCGAGGCTTCCAAAACAGCCACTACAACAACGACTACAATAGCCGAGGCTTCCAAAACAGCAACTACAACAACGACTACAATAGCCGAGGCTTCCAAAACAGCCACTACAACAACGACTACAATAGCCGAGGCTTCCAAAACAGCAACTACAACAACGACTACAATAGCCGAGGCTTCCAAAACAGCAACTACAACAACGACTACAATAGCCGAGGCTTCCAAAACAGCAACTACAACAACGACTACAATAGCCGAGGCTTCCAAAACAGCAACTACAACAACGACTACAATAGCCGAGGCTTCCTAAACAGCAACTACAGCAACGACTACAATAGCCGAGGCTTCCAAAACAGCAACTACAACAACGACTACAATAGCCGAGGCTTCCAAAACAGCAACTACAACAACGACTACAATAGCCGAGGCTTCCAAAACAGCAACTACAACAACGACTACAATAGCCGAGGCTTCCAAAACAGCAACTACAACAACGACTACAATAGCCGAGGCTTCCAAAACAGCAACTACAACAACGACTACAATAGCCGAGGCTTCCAAAACAGCAACTACAACAACGACTACAATAGCCGAGGCTTCCAAAACAGCAACTACAGCAACGACTACAATAGCCGAGGCTTCCAAAACAGCCACTACAACAACGACTACAATAGCCGAGGCTTCCAAAACAGCAACTACAGCAACGACTACAATAGCCGAGGCTTCCAAAACAGCAACTACAGCAACGACTACAATAGCCGAGGCTTCCAAAACAGCCACTACAACAACGACTACAATAGCCGAGGCTTCCAAAACAGCCACTACAACAACGACTACAATAGCCGAGGCTTCCAAAACAGCAACTACAACAACGACTACAATAGCCGAGGCTTCCAAAACAGCCACTACAACAACGACTACAATAGCCGAGGCTTCCAAAACAGCAACTACAACAGTCGCTAGCCAGTGCAATAACACTTTTGTTGACATATCACCTGGCCATTCATTAACAAGTCTGGAGCAGCAATGGAAGTTGTACGACCCTTTCTTTGATCGGCAACAAAGGTGATGATAACGCACGAATAAAGTGGGAATTCTAACTTAGATGACAATAAGTAGAATAGCATTATTATTCCCCGACTTATGCAAATCGAGAAGTAAAAACTTGCTTTGGCTTCCGGCATCAGCTCCCACAGCCTGTAGCTGCAGCCCTGCGTGACGGGCGGGGGGGGGGGGGCTAGCCCAGAGCGGGGGGAGGATGGGGTGGCTAGCCCACAGTTGGGGGAGGGGGTGATGGTACTCGCCTAGTTGTGCTTGGGGGGGTCGAGCTTCGGCTCTTTGGTCCCGCTTCTCAGCTGTCAATTAACTGGTGTACAGGTTCCTGAGCCTACTGGGCTCTGTCGTATCTATATTTAAAACTGTGTATGGAGTCAGCCTCCACCACATCACTACTTAATGCATTCCATCTCTTAACTACTCTGACACTGAAACAATTCTTTCTAATGTCTCTGTGGCTCATCTGGGTACTCAGTTTCCACCTGTGTCCCCTTGTTCCTGTTACACCCGTGCTAAAGAGTTTGTTATTGTTCACCCTGTCAATTCCAGTGAGAATTTTATAGGTGGTTATCTTGTCTCTCCTAACTCTTCTGTTTTCCAGGGATGTGAGGTTCAGCTCCTTTTGCCTTTCCTCGTAGCTCATACTTCTCAGCTCAAGTGGCATACTGCTGAATCTTCTCTTTGTCTTGTGTTTAACTAGGTATAGACTCCAGACTGGAGCTGCATACTACAAGATTGGTCTGACATAAATGGTATACAAAGTCCTGAATGATTCCTTACACAAGTTTCTAAAGGCAGTTCTTATGTTGACTAATCTAGCATATGCCGCTGATGATATCCTTTTGATGTGGGCTTCTGGGAACAGGTACGGCGTGATATCAACCCCCAGATCTTTCTCTCTATTTTACTCTTGAAGGATTTCACCTCCCAGATGGTACCTTGTGTTCAGCCTCCTGCTTCCTAAACCTAATTTCATTACCCGGGTTAAATTTAGTAGCCATTTTTTTAGACCATTCCTCCAGTTGGTCCAGGTCGTCCTGTAGTCTCCGTCTATCTTACTCTGTCTTGATTCGTCTCATAACTTTTGCATCATCGGCAAACATTGAGAGGAATGAGTCTATGCCCTCTGGAATATCGTTTACATATATCAGAAACAGGATGGGTCCAAATATGTTAGTGGAGGGAGGAACGTTGGGGAAGGTGGAGGAAGTGTTGGTGATGGTGGAGGGAGTGTTGGTGATGGTGGAGGGAGTGTTGGTGATGGTGGAGGGAGTGTTGGTGATGGAGGGAGCGTTGGTGATGGTAGAGGGAGTCTAGATTGGTTGATGGGGTTCTGGGAGTTCTTCTACTCCCCAAGCCCGGCCCGAGGCCAGGCTTGACTTGTGAGAGTTTGGTCCACTAGGCTGTTGCTTGGAGCGGCCCGCAGGCCCACATACATACCACAGCCTGGTTGGTCCGGTACTCCTTGGAAAAAATGATCTAGGTTTCTCTTGAAGATGTCCACGGTTGTTCCGGCAATATTTCTGATGCTCGCTGGGAGGGTGTTGAACAACCGCGCACCTCTGATGTTTATACAGTGTTCTCTGATTGTGCCTATGGCACCTCTGCTCTTCACTGGTTCTTTTCTGCATATTTTTCCATATCGTTCTCTCCAGTATGTTGTTATTTCACTTTGTAAATTTGGGACCTGGCCCTCCAGTATTTTCCACGTGTATATTATTTGATATCGTTCTCGTCTTCTTCCTAGTGAGTACATTTGGAGAGCTTGGAGACGATCCCAATAATTTAGGTGCTTTATCGCGTCTATGTATGCCGTATATGTTCTCTGTATTCCCTCTATTTCAGCAATCTCTCCTGCTCTGAAGGGGGGGAAGTGAGCACTGAACAGTACTCAAGACGGGACAACACAAGTGATTTGAAGAGTGCAACCATTGTGATGGGATCCCTGGATTTTTTTTTTTTTAATTTTCGCCCCGAGGGGACGAGTTTATTGGGCAGCGCCACTCATCTTGTGAGTGGACACACCGCCATAGCAGCATGTACAACACTCCCCAAAAGGAAGAAAATCCGCTGGGTTGTTCATCCTGTCACTTGTGCCTAGACACAGCTGGGACTTGCTTAACTGTCTAAAGTGAACAGCTCCTCAAACAAGAATATTAACATCTGTCAACCCTTAAAATCTTACGTTATCTTGCGGGTGCAAAATGGGGGAATCTTTTCAGAACAGTATCAATATTTGACAAATAGTGTTTTCCTAACTCAAACAATGTGGGGTTTATTATTCTACACATATTTCTGATATCTCTCAGGTGTTCACATTCATGTAGATAGTGGTCAAGGCGGTGTCCGTCACTCTCACCACAGATTCTGCAATTCCGCTGCTCAACTGTTGTTTCCATTCCATATCTCCATGGATATTTGTATCCAAGACGGATTCTCGGTATTACTGATTCTCTCACGCGTCCTTCTCCTCTTCGTCCATAATGATTGGGATTGCCAGCTATAACCATGTTGTACCATCGTACAGATTCACTGGTTTGTGCTTCTATCCTCCTTTCCTCAGTTACCTTGTCACGGTGATGTTGCCTGATAATACCTCTAATTTGTAGTTGAGTCTTGGGTATGAAGTATTCAATATGGTCTCCTTCAGCGCCTTCAGCAGCCAGCACATCTGCTCGTTCATTCCCACATATTCCAACATGGGAGGGGATCCATAGAAACTTGATGACTCTTCCTGGTTGGTAAGTACTCTCACAGCTCTCTTAAATTCAGCGATTATTGCAAGATTTTCTGCCCGATTTTTACTTAGGCTTTGCAGTGCTGCTTTGGAATCGGTGCAAATCACTGCACCATTAGTGTTCCGCTCAAGAAACCTTAACGCCATAACAATGGCCGTTAACTCTGCTTGCGTTGAAGAGGCATATTTCTCAATAGGCGCTTTTTCTTCATTTCTGCGTTTGAAAGCATTATCCTTAATTACCGTGTATGCTACACCAGCCCTGCCATTTACAGGATTAGATGACCCGTCAGTGTAGATTTGATCTAGTTCAGTGGATTTGAAAGTTCTTGTAATCCTTCCTATCATTTTTGTGGCTGACGCAATGTTTGCTTGATTATGCTCCCTAAACGTTAGGTCGTCAAACATCATTATTCCCAAATCCTTTACATGCTGATTTCCTACTATGCGCAGATTTGATTATGTTTTGTATTATGTATTATGTTTAAGGTCCTCATTTTTACCGTACCTGAGAACCTGGAATTTATCACTGTTAAACATCATGTTATTGTCTGCTGCCCAGACGAAAACTTTAATAATACCTACTTGTAGTTTTTCAATGTCTTCATCAGAAGTAATTTTCATGCTGATTTTTGTGTCATCTGCAAAGGATGATACGAAGCTGTGACTTGTATTTGAATATATATCTGATATGAGAATAAGGAAAAGCAGTGGTACAAGGAATGTACCTTGAGGTACAGAGCTTTTAATTGCACTTGGACTCGATTTTATATGGTTGACTGTAACTATTTGTTTTCTGTTCGACAGAAAACTGAGTATCAAGTGTCCTACTTTACCAGTTATTCCCATTGACCTCATTTTGTGTGCTATCACTCCAAGGTCACATTTATCGAATGCCTTTGTGAAGTCACAAAGGCATTCATGACACATCTGCATTTTGTTTTTCTTCTAATGCCTCAGTGATTTTGTCGTAGTGATCAAGTAGCTGTGAGAGGCATGATCTTCCTGCTTTAAATCCATGTTGGCCTGGGTTGTGGAGGTCATTGGTCTCCATGAAACTGGTGACCTGACTCCTGATCACTCTCTCAAATACTTTTTGGAGGCATGATGGTGGAGGGAGTGTTGGTCATGGTGGAGGGAGTGTTGGTGAGGTGGAGGGACTGTTGGTGATGGTAGAGGGAGTGTTGGTGAGGTGGAGGGAGTGATGGTGTTGCCTGGAGGGACGTGTTCACTACACTAAGACAGGGTGACGCCTCCCTGCTGCCCTGTACTCTACATGTCTCTCTCTTTTTTTACCTCTCGTATATATATATATATATATATATATATATATATATATATATATATATATATATATATATATATATATATATATATATATATATATATGTATATATATATGTATATATATATATATATATATATATATATATATATATATATATATATATATATGTGTGTATATATATATATATATATATATATATATATATATATATATATATATATATATATATATATATATATATATTTATGATCGATGTTCCCTTCGGGAATCTTAATTTTAAGATGAATAGGAAAACCAGGGATATACTGAACATCTTGTATCAGAATCTTTACTTTAAAAAACATAACGTTTCGAATACTTCTCGTATTCATCATCAGATCTAAAAGAAAAAACAGAAATCACAATCAAATAGCTGGTAAACAAAGAACTCATACTGAATATAATTGCCTATCAAAGAAAGGAAAATGCTTAAAAAACAAACACTTAAGCGCACTTAAAGTGATCAATACAAATAAAACTTATTAACTGTCACATATTCAGATTCAGATGTTTATTCAGGTAAGGTATATACATACAAGTGATGTTACATTAATGGATTAATGTGATGTTGCATTAATGATATATAGATAGAGCTAGTACATACAATGCCTAAAGCCACTATTACGCAATGCGTTTCGGGCAAATATAATTAAAATATATTATATTAAAACTAATTATATTATATTAAAACTAATTAAAACAAATATATTAAAACTAATTTAAAATCCATTAAACTACAAGATGAAATTTATAACTACTAAAACAAACCATTCCATTAAACTTACGTGAAGTGATCAGAAGTGAAACTTGATACCCAACACATAGATACTAAACACTATAACA